TAATTTTTACGTAAATTTGTTTAATATTTTCAACCGGGATTGTTACGCTTTCTGCATGGATGGAGCTCCTCGTAGCTATGACACCTCCACCTCGTTTGTTAACAGTCGTAAAGCTGTTTCTATCCTTTATGAAGATTTTGAAGGTGTTATCTATAACTTCCCTTGCATCCATGACTCCGTAATGCAGAAGACATCACTGGCATTGATTGATGTCGATTTGAGGAAGCTGCCGAGTTTGGTTCGGAACCCTCTCACGTTGTGATACTGTACGTGCATGTTTGTCTGGCTTGTTTTTTGCGCTAAGCGGGCGAAAATTTTTATCTACTAATTTATGAACGCCGGTAATATATTTTATGGTTTTACTAGAATCACCGTTTTTAACCATTGTATCTAGGTTCTTAAGATGTGTAAGCTGGGCTGAAGTGAGATCAGACTTGAACGTGATTTGAGCGGACCCCTCAATAGATTTTGGTGGCTTTGATTTGAGTATTACACATGCTGTAGAAGGAGAAGTGGTGCTGGCTAGTAACGGGCGAGTTCGACCGGCGGAGGGACGACCTAGTCGGCGGAGCTTGAAACTATCCACGTTAGTAAGAAGATCTGGGGGTAGCAACTTTTGTATAATGGTTTTATCGTCATTAAGACGTTCTTTGCTGTCTTCTTTCATAGATTCCTTAAGGTTTGGCATAATGACATTTGATTCACGTCTCTTGCGTTCCAAAAGTTCTGCGATTATTTCTTCTGCTGGTGCTGTAGTGTTGGAGAAGGACTTGAGCGTATCTTCAACTATACATACAGTACATTTGTCATTCAAGCGGCCGGACCGTTTAGATAGAGTAGTGACTTCCTTCCTGATGTCGCTGATGTTCCTCTCTATAGCGGATCTGAATTTGTCAAACTTGTTCTCTAGAGTAGTACAAAGCACTTGGTGATTTAGCTGTTACAACAACATTACAGACACCGCATTTGGGCAACAACAGCGTGTCATTATTGTTATTTTGTTATTTTTGGGGGCCATTGTTACCTTGAAAATCACACAATTTTAGGAAACTTAAGTCAAAAAATGCTTTAGACACTACACTAGTACACAGTTAAACCAATTAATTTATTTTTATTATTAATAATTAATAGAAAAAATATGTAATTAATAAGAGGGTGAAAATTATACGAGGAAATTATATATATAAATATACCCCACGATTTCAGGGTTTAGAGGGTTATATAAGAATATATATAATTATAGCCGCCGGAAACTTATAGGGGCCGGCTTTAGTATACCGTCCCAGGGTTTCGGGGATAAAATGGGTATAGGCGGATAGAGGAGATCCTCCAGATCATGAATATATACAGAGATAAACCTCCAACGCAACTATCGCAATAAAAGTATTGCTATACTCAACGATAGTCAGGCGGCACTAAAAGCGATCTCTGCCTATGAGGTCAGATCACTTCTAGTGCTGGAGTGTATAGAACGGCTGAACAACCTATCAGAGCACAACCGAGTGCACCTTATTTGGGTGCCTGGCCATAGTGGTATAGCCGGGAATGCACTAGCTGACGAGTTGGCCCGCTCTGCAGCCTCTACAAAAATGGTAGGACCGGAACCATTCATAGCGGTTGGTCTACATACCATTAAAGAGCTCCTCCGTAGGGAGGAAAGAGCAGGCAGGGAGACACATTGGCAACAACTTCAGGGCATACACCATGCCAGACTGCTAATGGCGGGTTACGACCTCAAACGGTTTAAGGCCATAATTAATCTCCCGAGGAACAAATTCCGGCTGCTTGTCGCGTTCAACACCGGCCATTGCAGGCTCACGAAGCACGTCTTCAACATAGGTAGATCCTTTTCTGGAAACTGCCGGTTCTGCGACATAGAGCCGGAAACCCCTGAACATCTGCTGATGAACTGCACAGCAGTCTGCAGACGCAGAATCAAGGCCCTGGGATCCATGTTTCCACACAGGGATTGTATCGCCTCACTAGCACCCAGCAGAATTTTGGAATTTATCAGCATGCTGGGCCTATATGATACGATATGACTTAGTGGAGGGCACAATAGACCATAGGTCGCCGTGCATACCTCAAAATTAATCTATTTTATTCTACAGATATAGCCGCGGGAAACGTATAGTTATCGAGATACTTACGTTTAAAGTTGTAAATTTCAACTATTTAAAGTACGTATTTTTTCGATTTAAAATGAATTATCTATATATATAAAAATGAAACCCGTTTCCCGTTGTCACGCCATAACTTGAGAGCGGCTAGACCGATTTGGCTGTTTTTTTTTGTAGCTTTCTAATACTCTGTAGAAGGTTCTTACAGAAAAAAANAAAAAAAGATTAAGAAAATGTCTCGGAAAAATTAAAAAAATACATTTACTTTTGCTTATTTTAAAAAACCTCGTAACGATGCCTAGCATTCACAGCCATAGACTATATTGAAAGAGGATCATTTCTTCGGAAATGTGGTTACTTAATTAAATTCTATGGTACTACTTTACTAATTTTTGAAAATTACTCGCCACAATTAAATGTACAGGCTTTGAAGGTAGGTAATATTAATAATACCAGTGATGATTTCATTTTAATGTAAGTATTTAATAATAATAAAATATGTATACTATGAGTTAGATTTCAGAATAGAAGTTAGATTTCATATACTAACTGCAATCAAATACGAAATGCCCTAAACTTCCAGCCAATTTCAACACTATTGTACTCGGACAAAATTAATTAATTGCCCGTATTTACTCAGTCGCACAAAATAAATATTTAAATCATAACAGGCTCGGTAATCGAGCTATAGGACAGAAAAAAATTTTGAAATTAGTTTTAATAATAAAATTTTACTAAATTAAACTCCTTACTCAATATAATTTAATTATACCTTAGTCACAGCAAGGCGTGGCCGAGGTCTTCTAGTAGACTTATATTTTTCACTTTTATATTCACTAACACTTCACTAATTCGTTTGTGCACATTTATTATACATTATATGGTGGACCCTAGCAGGTTAAACTTCTACCTATCCAGAGTAGACCCCGACATACAAAACTTATGTCCTGCATGCAGCGAGTTTCCGCACGACACTAATCACCTCTTTGCATGCCCCATGAATCCTACTCACTTAATTACTCTCTCCTTACGGTCAGAATCCGTCGAAACAGCTCGTTTCCTGAGCCGACCATTAAATGACTTCGATGACAGTTGACTTTTTTTTACTTTCCCCTAAGGATAACTGTTACAACAACACCAACAGCCGCCAAAGCAAAAAGGGGTTGAAATTATTTTGCTAAGTTTTGTTCAACTTTAAACTTAAATATCTTGAAAACTATAAGTTTCCCGGGGCTATTTATTGTTGATCTAGAGGATCTCTACTCCTCTATTCGCCCATACCCATTTACTCCTCGAAATCCTAGGTCGGTATTCTAAAGTTATCCCATTAACTGATTGAACTGAGCGGCTACCCTATAATGGATTATTTGAGATATCGTTTTGAAATTTTAGTATGTTATTTTTAAAGGTATAAACGATCGAAATATGAAAAACGAAATCGATTTCTTCAAAATTTCGCACTAGGTGCCCCTTACAAAAGAATGCCAAAATAATGGCCCACCCCCGCTGGATTAATACGGGTATGGGCTGATCGATCTTCAAGTTTGGAAATATACCTGTGTACGTATGGTTTTTAAGAGATTTGTGGTTAAAAAATACAAATTTTGACAACTAAGGCTATGTAGTTTTTAGTGTATAATGTATTTTACACTTATAATGGGTAAATAAATGTATAGAGACAATTTAGTGGACTTTGTATGTATATAAAAATGCTCGATTTAATTAAATTGAAAAACTCATTGTAATTTGCAATACAATCTTTCCCTTTTTGTTTACTTTTGTTCGTATGCAAAAAATGGATATGGTAGATAAATATAAATTGAGGAATATACCGCTAAGGTTTATTGTGCCCTTCCCTCTGTCAGTACATCGATAATTTCTAGTATACTGCTAGGTGCTAGTGAGGCGAAGTGATCCCTATTCGGATACATATAATAAATCTAACTGCCTTAATCCTGCGTGCAGACTGCTGTGCAGTAAAGCATCAGGTGCTCGGGATGTCGCAGAACCGGCAGTTTGCACAAGATGCTATACCCATATTAAATATATGCTTCTTGAGATGTGAGTTTTCGGAGGACCTCCAGTACTGCGTTTGGGCACGTACGCATTTCACCCGTTGCGCAGATGCAGGCAACTCTTGCATGTTTCGTTAGTTGAAGTTTGCGATGCTACGAACTAGACCCCGTCATTCCAAACATATGTCCTGCGTGCAATAACTCTCGGCATGATACTAACCACCTCTTTGCATGCCCAACAAACCCAACTCATCTAACACCCTTTTCCCTATGGTCCAACCCCGTCGAAACAACTCGTTTCTTGGGCCCCTCGTTAGATGACAGCGACGACAACCAAACTATAACTTGTCATACAAGCGGGGACTAGGTAACCATTACAACAACAACGGTCGTTTTCGACGGGATGGCCGGATATAAATCCGGGTCCGTTGCGGTTACGTAGACCCGACTGTCATGGGAACGGTTAATGCTCAGGGTATGGTAGGTAACTCTTATTATTTGTTTGCGTGCAAGCCTTTTGTTATTGTCTAAATAAGTCAAAAATAACAAAACTTTAATTACGATTGGAAACTATTTGTGCACTATATAAAGCTCATAATATTACATAAAAAAAGTGTATGCTTTAGTTTGTGAACTTTTGGACTTAAAATGCGAATATCTCGGAAACTATAAGTGTCCAGCAGCTCTATATACATACATATATATATTCTTAATCTGAAAAACATCCTCTAACATCCAATCTCTCCCATTTTATAACCCCAAACTCGGAAGATCCGATTGGGTAGCGATTCTTACAATTTTCCAATGTAATTTATGGAAATTGATGACCAAGCATTTTTTATACCTTCAACTAATTTCTCTTTAGTGTAATACTGCCGGCCGGACTCGAAAACTGTGCGAGCCAACCATCCTGAAACCTTTTGTATTTTATTGATGTCAGGTAAGTAAGGCGCCCACTGCATTAAATCGACTTTTTATCTTTCAATCCCAGACTTAAACGCCCCGGGCAGTGCTTCATCGTATCGTACAACGAAGAAAAAAACCATTTCCAGTATGTTTTTTATACGCGTTTGCATTCATATTTGTATTCTAAAATTGCAGTTCGCACGTACCATATTAGAAGATGGCTCCCCACACCCGTTCCCACGACAGTCGGGTCTACGTAACCGGAACGGACCCGGATTTATTCCGGCCAAGGACTGTCAACTCGGCAGAATTCTGCCGCTACAACAACAACAACAACATGACTCGCCACACCGTAACATCGCTCTTACAACTATGCAGTAATTGCAGCTGATTTTCCTTCTTTCGTAGATCATGGAAACTTTAATCGTTTGAAAATCAGACTTTAAGGCTCCGGCGCAAAATGTATTCGTGTTTCTTTTCGGGGAACCTTAAGTGGTCGTTTTTTCTTTAGTTTTAATAGTTTCAATTATGGAGCATTCCTTAGCACCCTTTAAACAGTACACCAGCATTTGCTCAGATCTTGGAGGCCGATTGACGTGAGTTGGATGATTTTCCCAAAATTGCTCTCTTGGTTAAAATCACTTTATTGTTACCGCCTTTATTATTTCAACCGAACTCCGACTTATAACGCAAGAAATTGTATATAATTTTTCGACTTTTGTCAACTTTTGAAGAAGCACAGGTTATCAAGTATAACTGCCGTTCCCACGACAGTCGGGTCTACGTGACCGGAACGGACCCGGATTTATTCCGGCCAAGGACTGTCAACTCGGCAGAATTCTGTCGCTACAACAACAACAACAACAAGTATAACGCCAGTCTGCACTCCTATGTCCAGTTCGTGAATATGGTCCCTTTGGATTTAGTGCGGGAGAGTGTTATCAAGCTTCTCGCAGAGAAGAAGCGAGAAAGATCGGTGGGATACCCGGAATTTATCCAGCCAAGAGCTGTTATTTCGGCGACCATGCTTAGATTTTATACCTTATATAATGTTCAATCTGTAAGGTATTTTATTGAAACTCAAAGAGCATCTCTTTTTGTAGTAATGGTATGTCGTAATACCAAGAATAAATAAAATCGGGTCAACACTACCCGCAATGTCTATATACTTAATATTCGTTCTTGAGTTATGAGATATTACCCAAAGATGACCGCTGCAACGCAACTTGTTCAATTTCGACCCCGGGTCCGATAGAGCCTTCCGAACGATCTGGGCTGTGAAATTTTATGTTCATTTAGTTTCTTTTAGCGGTTTTCAACATAACTATTATATACAGAGTGGGTGGGTTTCACACATGTTCAAACTACCGAAATAGCTACCAAAACAAGTTATTATGAGCAAATTTTGTTGATCATTAGTGAAACTCTGACAGCATCTTTTTCTGTTTGTAATATGTAGTAATGCCAAAATTGGGTCAATACCCATATACATAATATAAGATTTTGACAGTTCCGGTTGGCTTAACACCGTATACATTGTGACCAGAAAGCTTCCGGAAATTGTCATTTAATCTGCCCGCGCTGAATATTTTTCAGCACTTATTTTTCGTTAAGTTAGTAGCACTGTCATAAAATACTATGCCAAAAATGAGCGCCATATGTCGACCAGTTTGCAGCAGCTGTAGAGATCAGTCGACCTCAGTAGTGTTTTGCGTTTCGAACCAAATTTAGTGTGCGGAATCTTTGCGAATGTTAGAAAANCAATATACCCTATACAGTCGACGCCGACAAATAAGAATCTTCAGTAATTTGAATTTCCAGAAATTAAAATCAGAGTTTGTAATTACAATCGAAAATTCGAATTTCTGAGTGTATTTTTTTTGTTTTTTTCTTATCGATAATTGAGCTATTATTTTGTTTGAAAGAGTTAATAATTTGATAAAATGGTGCAATCACAGTAAATTTTTTTTTACTGAGCACATAAACAATCTGCTGGCTTTCCATATCGACTATATGTCAAGTAAAGATTAGTAGTGAAGTTGTTCATTGAGTCAATTATATGAAATAATACTTTAGCTTTGAAAATTATCTTTATTTTTTACTGACTACATATCGATTTTTTTTTGTTTTAATAGGAAAAATATATATTTTCTAATAAAATCCTTTCAGAAATTAGAATCACCTTAAAAACAACGTGGTTCTAATTTGTTATCGTCGACTGTATAATGATTTACCACTCTCCAGTTTAAACTGTTTAGGTTGCTCCAAATTTTTTAATGATATTAAATGGACAAGTTTTAAATTATGTGGTTTAGCGCTGACTATGAATGGAATTGATCTAAACCTTGGTTCAAACCTCATATCCCGAATACAAATAATTCCGATACTATGGTTGTCCTTTTTTACACCAACTCAATATAAATATTAAGCTAGAGGATCTCGTCCAAGCGTTGCTGTGGCTAAGGTATACATTAATTATAAACTATTCAATAATGTAAAATTCCATTTATGAATAATGAATAAAAACGAAAACGTTATATCCGGTGTAAGAATCCAAGGGGTTAAAATAAGAACATTAATTATGAAAATTATTTCCAAATTTGAAAATAATTGATACAAATTTTCTTAGATTTGTTATTAAGCACAAATAAATATAAGATATGCAACTTTGTAGCAAGAGAGTAATTTTCAAAGTTGTTAATTAATAACATATGAGATAATTCATTCTTAATTTATAACAATAATACTTATAGTAATAAACATTTTCAAATTCAATTTAATTCAGCTGTATTCGTACCGTCCATTCTGACAGTATGATTGAAAAACGTATCAAGGGGACAATTTTCCCAGGCAAAATCGTTGCTGCAAAATTATTTCTTGTAATCTTTACGATTACCAAACGTGTACCGTTGCATAATTGAGATGAATTGAAATGACGCTGGATATTAATAAGTGAACCAATTTTCAACCGAAGATTTATGGTCAATTGAAGTCAAGACCATAAGAACGATTGCTTAAACATTTGCTAATCTCATTGACTTAAAAAAGCTAAGAATAACGGGGCTGTCGGCAAGCACCACCGAATACTTCATCACTGCCATTTAAATATCGTATTATTCTGTGCAATGCTTCGAGAATATTTGAGAGCCATTATGCACTCATCTGAAATTATAATTAAACTTTTTATAAACACTGTAGGAACTCCGCTATTTTTGTATGTTAGATATTGCATTTGGTTTGTTATAATTGCCTTTGCGTCGTTCTAGCAAAATAGCCGCAATGCCTTACCGATGCAACTCTCAATACGATTTTCTGTTGTTTTATAAAAATGTCTTACCTGTTCCACATGGTGCGTCCTAAATAAACCGCCTTCTTTAGTAGTAACAATCAGTATAAACATATACGTATACGAAAATTACTTGTTGTTGTAGCAGCAGAAAACAATCCTGAAGCAATTTCGAGGAATGGTGCCGAGTTAACAGTCCGTGGCCGGATAAAAATCCAGGTCCGTTACGGTTACTTAGACCCGACTGCCTTGAATGACGAGACGAGCTTGAATCGAGATGTCTGTCTGTCCGTGCCCGCTGTAACTTGAGTAGAAATTGAGATATCGTAATGAAACTTTGTACACGTATTTCTTGGCAAAAAAGTAAGTTCGTAGATGGGTGTAAGCGGAAAACTGTCATGCCCACAAAACGTCACTAACCGAAAACCTATAAAATGCCATAACTAAGCACCAAATTAAGATCTAAAACTGTAATTTGGTACAGGGGGTTGTATTAGCAAGACGAAACTGTGGACTAAAGCTTAAAAAAAGGGCGTCACTCCGCTCTATAATAGGTTTAATTTACATATCTCCTAAACCACTTAAGCTACAATAACCAATTTCGCTTTGGAAAAATCAAGAACCAATTAATGAATATAGAAAGATAGATTAGATTACAGGTATGCACCGCGACATATGGTCTTTTGTGCCCTCCCCTAAGTCATAGCGACTCATCTAGCCCCAGCATGTTGATAAACTCCAATATTCTGCTGGTTGTTAGTGATGTGATAGGATTTCTGTTTGGAAACATGGATGCCAGGGCCTAAATTCTGCGTCTGCAGACTGCTGTGGAGTCTACTAGCAGATTTTCTGGGATTTCCGGGTCCATGTCACAGAACCGGCAGTTTGCAGAAGAGACTAATCCCATGTTGCATAGCTGTTTATTGAGCCTGCAATGGCCGGTCTTGAATGCGACAAGCAGCCGGAATTTGTTCCTCGGGAGATTGATTACGGCTTTAAACCGTCTGAGGTAGTAACCTCCCATTAGCAACCTGGCATGACGCATTCCTTAAAGTTGTTGCCAATGTCTCTCCCTCCCTGCAATGGTATGTAAACCAACTGCTACGCATGGTTCTGGTCCTACCATTTTTGTGGAGGCTGCAGAGCGGGCTAATTTGTCAGCCAGTTCATTTCCGGCTATGCACTTCTGCACTAGAAGCGATCTAACCTCATGCAGAAAGCGGACTATCGCTGAGTATTGCAATACTTATATTGCAATAGCCGCGTTGGAGGTTTATCTCTACACACCGACTTATAGCATAGACTTCAGCCAAAAAATGCCAGGAAAGCTTCCCATGGAATGGAGAGTTTGGTGCTTGCCCAGCGACCCCTGCACCAATCCCCTCCGACGTCTTCGAGCTGTCGGTGTAACAGTTGATAGTGCTTTCCCTTAGCAGCAGGTCCAGCGGTGAATCATTCCATTTCGCCTTGCTGCCAAGGGTAACTTTGAACTTCTTAGTGAAGCTTACTACTTTGGTAATGCTGTCTCTTGGGAGAAGGGCTAGTGGCATTTCCTCACTTAGCGCCTTCATCTGCTGGGCGAGATTACCTTCCCTCTGGCAAATCTTTCTGCTGTCATTTGGAGCAGAGTCTGTTTGGCTGTCTGTTTGATTATCATATGTAGTTGTGTGAGTTCTAGCATTACTTCCAGTGCTGCAGTCGGACACGTACGCAGTCTTTGCAGCTTCGACAGTTGAAGTCCTACCGAA